AATTTTTGATTTATTGTAGAGACGAGGTCTTGCCAAGTTGCCCAGGTGGGTCTCAAACCTGCGGGCTCAGGCAATCCACTCGACTCGGCCTCCCAAAGTGCTGGGATTACAGGCTGAGCCACCGAGCCCGGCCTATTCTTATTTTTAAAACTATTATTCAGAAGTTACTGTTTAACCTGGGAAGCAAGTTTGAATTAGAATTTAGGATTCATGACTCTACCTGCCTTTGAAAAAATATATAAATTAAAAAATTTTTAGAAATACAACTATAAAATTTCTAGATCCCTAATAATTCACTTCTCACTCCTTGGCCTCATGTCCATTTTCTCATGGATGAACTGTCACCAAAGTAAATCTCAGAAACTGCTGCAGAGATTTACTCTAAAATGCTGTCTTACTCCTCTTCTTTTCCAAGAATCTACAGGAAAATCATGAAATTCAAATTCTCCTAATATAAACAGACCTATCTTAGGAATGAGGCTCTTTCACACATTTCTAACTTTTCATAGGGAGAAAAAAATAACAAAAAGGCCAATTAGTGAGGGTGACACCTTGAAATAGCACAGCAGAGTCAAGTGCAAAGGTCAAAGTGGAGCTCATGAACTTCCAGGGTGGACTGAGGGGTCCATGAACTCGGATGGGAAAATTACATGCTTATTTCCATGAACTTCTGAAATGTAGCATTTCCTCTGTTTATAAATGTAGGCTACAAACACAGCAGTGTCAGCAGTGACTGTGACTATCACCAATAGTTACTGTTGATATTTTCACATCAGGTCAATTTCACAGATTTAATCTCTTATTTTGATGATAATTATATTTCTATTTAATTGGTTACTCTGGAAATCCTATGCATTCTGGCCTAGCACGGTGATTCACACCTGTGAGCCCAACACTTTGGGAGGCTGAGGCAGGAGGATTGCTTGAGCCCAGGAGTTCAAGACCAGCCTGGACAACATAATGAGATCCAGTCTCTACAAAAAAATAAAATAAGCTGGGTGTCGTGGTGTACACCTGTGTTTCTGGCTACTCAGGAGGCTGAGGTGGGAGGATTGCTTGAGTTCAAGAGGTCACAGCTGTGGTGAGCCATGATCTGTGTCACTGCACTCCAACATGAGTGACAGTGAGACCCAGACTCAACAAAAAAAAAAAAGAAGTGAAAAGAAAACAGGAATCCTATGTCTATTTGATAGATTAATGAGATGGGTCCATCAGCCTCGTCAGACCACTACAGGACTCCATGGGGCAGAGGCTCGAAATCCCTGCTCTGTGGGGTCTGCATGTAGGTCCAGAGCACACAGGCCTTTCAAATTCCAACAATTTAAAATCCTAGCTCCACAAATAATCAGCTGGGTAACCCTGGGCACGTTACTTCTCTGGGCCTCACTTTCTCCAGCTGCACAATAGGATGGTAAGGACCAAGCAAGCAGACGTGGGAGAAAGCAGCTGGCAGGCAGCCTGCCCTAGGGAAGCACATGTGGCCAGCACGGCTGCCCTGGTGGTTTCCTTTCCCGCCCCTAGTCGTTCAGCAGAGATTTCCCAGAATCCTCTCCCAGCTGGCACCTGCTGAGGGTCAATGCGCCCTTGCGGTGTCCCTGTGGGTTGTCGCGTCATGAGCACCCTGGAGGGTGCCCGGGCCTACGGTGCACTTGTATTTCTGCGTCCTTTGCTTCTGTGGCTGAGCGATGCCTGCCTCCTCCGGACTTGTGAACTTTCCAATAAATAGATTGGTTTATAAAACAGCTCCCCCAGTTACACTCTCCCTCCCAGGTTCCCAGGAGGGGTGCTGCTGTGTCCTGGTCCTAGCACAAACCTTCATCAAGTGCCCACAGACAGAGCTACACTAGGTACGGCGTCAGCTGTGTCCCCCAAAAGGCCACACACAGGAAAAGGCAGGGAAGACAGACGACGGAAGAGGGGGAAAAGACACTGGGAAGAGCCTGTGCCACCGATATGAAGAGGTCCTGCCTCACTCCCAAGCCCAGGCAGGTGCTGGGGGCTGTTACCTTGCCAGCAAGCCCCAACCACAAGCTGGGTCTCTATCTGGGCCGGGTGGAGAGGGTAGTCCTCGGTCACGGAGAAGGGCTCCTGGGCAGCGCCGTCCACGTAGAGTGTCACACTCGGGAACTCCACGTTGAGGACGTAGTGGTGCCATTCTTCGTCACAGACCTAGGGAAAGCCAGGGAGAGTCAGGGGCCCTTGCCCAAAGACAGTCATGAACGTGAGACAAGTGGGTTCGGAAAACAGGTCACGAATCGTGAATATCTGTCTTGCTAAAAAGAAAAGGATTTAAAACAACAATCTAACAACAAAATATTCTGCAAACCCATCTCAGCAAAAAAGGTCAAGGCAACACTGTTATCCTGAGGGCACCAAGTGGCATTCTCTGCTCACGCACTGAAGGACAGAGGACCCACAGGGAGCTGTCCAATCCTCCTCTGCCAACAGTATGACACCAGGAAACCATTGTATTGGCAGGCCGGATACCCGATCCTTTTCTGGATCAAAATGAAAAGTGCCTCCAATCTCAGAATGAGGCATACTACAGTATGTGTATTTTCATTCATTCAATCATTTATTCATTTTGAGTCAGGGTCTCACGTCGTTGCCCACGTTGGAGTGCAGTGGCACAATCACAGCTACCGCAGCCCTGACCTCCTGGGCTCAGGTGATCTCCCCTCCTCAACCTCCTACGTAGCTGGGATTACATGCACGCGCCATCATGCCCAGCTGATTTCTGGGTTTGTTGTACAGAGGAGGTCTTGCCATGTGGCCCAGACTGGTCTCAAACTCCCGAGCTCCAACGATCCACTCCCGCTTCAGCCTCAAAGTGCTGGGGTCACAGGCATGAGCCACTGCGCCAAGCCACGTTTCTTCCTAAGTTCAAACTTGATGATCTAAATCAACGTGAGCACACGTGCAGATGGCACACCAAATTAAAACAAGTTCCCTTCCCGTCATGAACAAGCGGCATGAGTGTGTATCCACCAACTGCAAAGTGTGGTCCCTTCTCTGAATTGTGATTCAAATAAACAAACTGTAAAAACAAAACCATTTATGAGACAACTTGGAATTTGAACACTGACTGGGTATCTGATCATATTAGGCATTTATGTTACTTTTTTTAAGATGTGAAGAAAGTATTGTGATTATGCTTATCAGAGATATATTACAAAATATGGATGTCTACAAGAATGACATGCTCTATCTGGGACTTGTGAAAAATTATTCAGTTCTTGGAAGGCTGAGGCGGAAGGATCGCTGGAGCCCAGCAGGTCGAGGCTGCGGTGGCTGGAAGCAGCCACTGCACTCCAGTCTGGGCGACAGAGTGAGACTCCAACTCAAAAAAAAAAAAAAAAATTATTCAGTAATTTTTGAGAAGGTAATTAAAATTTTAACAGTGAGTAGGGGTAACAATGAAACAGGACTAAGAGTTGGCAATGGCTGAAGCTTGGTGAAGGGTACACAGGGTTGTTTTTACACTAATCTGCCTACTTTTATATATGTCTAAATTTTTAAGTTTTAAAAATATATCTCATCAGAAGAAGCTAGATATAGCTAAGTGTGATGGCTCATGCCTGTAATTCCAGCACTTTAGGAGGCAGAGGTGAGAGAATTGCCTAAATCCAGGAGTTTGAGACCAGTCTAGGCAACTTGTCGAGACCTAGTCTCTACAGTAAGTAAGAAAATTAGCTGGGCATGGTGGTGCACACCTGTAGTTCAGCTACTTGGAAGGTTGAGGCAGAAGGATAGTATGAGCCCAGCAGGTCGCGGCTGTGTTGGCCATGAGCATGTCACTGCACTCCAGCCTGGGCAACAGAGTGAGACTCCAAAAAAATAAAAAATAAAAAAAGAAGCTAAATATGTAAATACAGACTGTGATACTACAACAGAACTGTACCTTATTTATTTAGTCTCTTGAAAATAATTATGGTAAAAGTTTTTGAGAAATACTTGCTTATGTAGATAACAGTGACATTAATAAGAGATGAATGCTACCAACCGGACACTCACTTCGTCTTTCCATTTAGCAACTCCAGTCACATATAGGAAGGTCCCAACATACAAACAAATTCCACTCCAAGAGCATTGGCAAGTCCAACCTGTTCTAAGTTCAACAGTTAGCCTAGGTACCCAACTAAAACACAATCGGTCATACAGGCTACACTGACACCTGGTGGAGAGAAATAGTACATAAAGTAACTTAAAGGTTGGCATGTAGGGGACCCTACTACACAACAATATGTCGGCTTTGCTCACTAACTCCATGAGACAAATAAAATTAAGCTAAGGCCAAGGTTCCCTTCTTGCTCTAGTCCTAAATCAAAAAGAAACAATCTGATTTTAATGAGGCTTCTCCCCTCATTTCCTGTAACATGTGGATTCTTCATAGGAGACTGGCTTCTTATCATAGCAACTGCTAGAAAATTAGCTCTTCAAAGACATGACATCATCGAGAGGAATGTAATGTGATCAAGGTCAAAACTGTAAACCAGCTCAAGCAGCAGTGTGGTATCTGAAATACGTCAAGATTGCAGGTTCCTCGAACATTTAAAATATTCTGGCCAGACACGGTGGCTCACGCCTGTAATCCCAGAACTTTGGGAGGCAGAGGTAAAAGGATAGCTTGAGCCCAGGGGTTCGATACCAGTTTGGGCCACATAATGAGACTTCATCTCTTCAATAAATCAAAAAACTAGCCAAGTATGATGACTCATGCCTGGCTACTTGGAAGGCTGAGGTGGAAGGATCACCTGAGCTCTGCAGGTCGAAGCTGTGGTAGCTGTGAGCATGCCACTGCACTCCAGCCTGGGCAACCGAGTGAGGCTCTGACTCAAAAAAATAAATAAATAAATATCTGGTGACGCCCTGAATTACTGAGTCACAGGCTCCTTGCACAGTTTTGGACCAAAGCCTTACATCATTAGTAAATAAGAGATCTCAACGCTAATGTTTAAGCAAATGCTGATCTTTCAATAAATTATATAAGTATCTTACATTTAAAAGAATCAATCTTTTTTATCATTACTTTATGCATAAAATACATGTTAAAAAAAACTTAGGCTGTCAGTGGACAGGAGTTACACAGATTTAATTTGCGATCCTATCACCTACAGACACAGAAATGGAGACGTCATAAACACACACTGACTGAACAGCCCGTCCTGTGCTTGGTCGGCTGCAGTGCCTGGCTAATCCCTCTTGGAAGATCATAGCTGGCGAGTTCTCAGTCTGCTCACCTGATTCAGCTTCCAGTGGAATTCTGCAGGCTTGTACTTCTTCTCCTCAGAAGGGTCCTGACGGAGGAGGAAAATGAGCCGGCACCCATGGACGTAGAGGGAATAATGGTGCCGGTTCATCTCTGCAAAGATAGTTTCTGGGGTGAATTGCCAACTTAAGATCCCAGGGAGAAGTACAAGTATTGTGAACGGATTCTGAAAACATGATTTTATGGGCATAAATGACCTCTCCAGTTGTGCCAAGGCAGGGGTTAGAGACAAATGCGCGTGAGTTCTGCTGAGAAGCTGGGCCCAGGCGAACTGTTGACAGCCCATCAAGTCAAACTAGTAAACCCCAAATGCAGTGCTGCTTCTCTTGGGGACAAAGTACCCCTGGCGCAAAGGAAAGAATGCCACCTGTAAACAGCCTTCCCAGTGGGAGGCTCTGGGGGAAGGAAAAGGGGGCCTGCCTCCGTGGCTGCCCCATAGGACACGGGCATCGTTCAAGAAAAAAAACCAACCTACCCGTTTTGTCTGAACTGCAAAGAATTGTCTCTTTCTTCCTGCCGAAAGGCCCGTGCCTCATCCACACGGAAATCGTGAACGGCTCTTTCGAGCTGACCGAGACAATGCCGTCTGGGATCCTCACTGCCTGAGTGCCATTGAACTCGAAGACCTGGTCGCTGTCATGACCGTTGTCGGTGGGGAGGCCGACAGTCCAGTTCAGGGTGCTGCTGGGAGCAGGGAGCAGCTCGGCGGTGCCAGCAGCCGCACCTGGAACCACGACTCGTGTGAGTTACATGAAGAACTTAGAGGTCTACACATCTCAGAACTATCTTATTGTTAAATGGTTGCTAGTTCCAGTTTACTTTTCTTCAAAAACAGGGTTTTTATTACAAAAATAAATAAAGAAAACTCAGATTTTTTTTGAAAGGAGGGTGGGAAATGAAGTATTTCCTGTGATCCCATCCAAATACAGACAGCTTGGGTATAAATACTTCTGATCATCTATAAATAAATAAATATGTGTGTGTGTGTGTGTGTGTGTGTGTGTGTGTGTGTGTGTGTGTATAGACATAATATAAAATAGAAAGAGTCCTGCTATGTACATATGTAAAACACACATATTCCTACTAATATTCCTCTAGAGCATAATTTAAGATTCTGAAAAGCATTTCATTGCACAGATAGACCATAATCTACTTAACCAATCTCCCTGGTGGACCCTGAGGCTGCTCCCAAGTTTTTCCTGTTATAAGCCTTGCCTTGATGAGCACCTTTGTGTGTGTCTGTGATTATCCCGTAAAATAAATTCCTAGAAATAAAAGTATTCTCCCCCCCACCTCTTTTTTGCAGAGACAGGGTTTTGCTCTGTTGCCCAGGCTGGTCTTGAACTCCTGGCCTCAAGCAACCCTCCCACTTTGGCCTCCCAAAGTACAGGAATTACAGGTGTGAGCCAATGTGCCTGGCCAAAAAACTGGATTCAGAGTCGCAAAACACCCTAGTATACTCATCATCAGGATGAACTGACACAATGTACAGGTTTCTCCTCTTGCCTATTTACTATATGACGATTTTCAGTTATTTAAGAAAGCCAGTCACCTAAATCTCATGGTTATCAGGCTAGTGAAAAGATGGAAAATGCTCCCTGCAAAGCTGTTTCCAAGTGGTCCTCTAAACGCAAAAGACCCTTCTGAGCATGAAGAGGACACTGAAATTCCTGGTATTTTATCACTGGTTAACTAAAATATCCTTCCCTCAGCATCTCCCACAAGATGAGTCCATACCCCACCTATTCCTTGTTTAGACAAACCAGAAAAATATCCACAACTGACAGCAAAGATGGAGAGCTAGCCTTCTGGTTGGATTCCCAATAATCCTCTCTCAGCTTCTCCATACAACACTTGTGATGTATAAAGTCTGCTGAGACTGTAAGTTAGACATTAGTATCCTTAGTTTTTATTTTCTACTTCATGTTGGCCAAAACCGTTACCTATTTTTTCTTCAGTCCTTAAATAAACATCTCATTTCTTATATAACTCTCTCTACTTACTCCTATATAAATCCTAGTCAGCTGATTCTCAGTGTGCTGAAGAAAAACTTTCTTCAAATCAGTGGTTCCTAAAATGCACATACATGTAACATCTTAAATAGACTTTCAGGGGGTTATATTCCCCCGAAGCCCATCCAGTATGCAAATTAGCCAGAAAGGCAGCAAAAATCATTTCAGAAATTTAGAGTCTCTGCAACAGTTTGCAATAATGAACACCAACACACATAAACATTTTCAGTTGTAAGGGTCACTCTGGCCTTCACTGAGGATGGCCAGATGTGGGAACGCCAGGCCTCCTTACCACAGAGCCGGTGAAGGGACTTCTCGGAGTAGGTGTCTCGGTCGCAGCCTTTCCCAATATGACTGGTCTCCAGCTCCACCATGGCCTGCACGGAGGCGATGGGCTCATCACAAGTCTCAAGATGGATATTTGGGAAGACAGACAATGCACCCGTGCCAGGCTCATACTCAATCCTGTTGTTCCACCCTGCATTGGCCCGCAAGTTGGCAAGGGAGGAGAGAAGGAAAATGCACTCAGGTCTCTGGGGTGTGCCAGTTCTAAGAACAGATGTGAGGGAGGAAGAGAGAAGATGTTCACCTTGCCAGCCGGGGGTGCAGGTGGGCTTAATGCTGATCTTCACCAGCACGTCCTCCGCGGCTCTTCTCTTCCCACAGTCGTAGGCGGTGACGGTCAGTTTATACTGATGTTCTTTCCCATAGTTTAATTTCTCTGTGTTTTTTATATAACCTTGCAGAGAAAAATAACAGCAGTGAGAAACAAAACACATGCTGCTTTGACTTTTGTTGTCGCATGGTGAAACACAAAAAGTACGTGCTTGAAGCCCTGCAAATACTGACCCCAAAATAAACTTGTGCTTGGGATGCAGAACACTCAGTCTGTCCTGCCTGTGCTCAAATTCACCTTGATATGTTTAAACAGAAGGGGTGAGTCCACACAACTCAAGCTCCAGTGCCTCTTACTGTTTTACTTTTGGTTTATATTAACTTTAAGATTTAATCATTTACATACAGATCAGAATAAACAAGACACCATACCTTAACAAAAGTCAAAGCAGCACTTCAAATAGTAAATACAAGATCAAGCTGCGTTAAATATTTCTTGCTGAAAGATTTACTTTGTTAAAGAGAGAGGTAACCCCCTCGGGTTCCCTCCTGCTCTGGGAGTTTTTCTGTCCTCTCAATAAATCTTGCATTCTCCAAAAAAAAAAAAAAAGAGAGTGAGAAAGAGAAAGAGAAGGAAAGAGATTTCCTACTCCCCCCACTTAGGACAGAGGCCTGTTTTTTTTGTTTTGTTTTATTTCTCAAGCTGAGAGTGAAGAACGAGAGGCTGGTTTTTTGAGCATGAGTGCAGATGTCTGGAAAGTATCTACAGTCTCCATAATTCCATCAAAATTAATGCTGTGCATTAATCAACAATGGAGACACCATATTATCTTTTTTATTTTTTATCTATTTTTTTGAGACGTAGTCTCACTCTGTCGCCCAGGATGGTGTGCAGTGGTATGCTCACAGCCAACACAGCCTTGACCTGCTGGGCTCAGGCAATTCATCTGCCTCAGGCTCCCAAGCAGCTGGAACTACAGGCATGTGCTAACACACCCAGCTAATTTTTTGATTTCCTGTAGAGACGAGGTCTCACCAAGTTGCCCAGGCTGATCTCAAACCCTTGGGCTCAGGCAGTCCTCTGGCCTCGGCCTCCCAAGGTGCTGGGATGGCAGGTGTGAGCCACCGTGCCCGGCCCCATGTTATCACTAAGAAGCTGTAGCCTTATAAAAAAGTTGAGCTCTAGAGTGAGTTGCTTCTGCTCAATGCTGTGGAAATGAGGCATAAACCCTTATGCTCAACATGAGGCAGAAGATTCACATTTAAGGAGAACAGAAAATGAGACTAACTAAAGGCCAGTCTCACTCGGATGCATGTGGACTGAAAGGCGAGATGATGAAACCCTAACAGCATGCTCTGGGGGATTTTTATTTGAATTTGGTGGGAAAGGAAGAGAGGTGTGTCCCAAGAGAACGCAAGACTCTCAGGGTCCAGAGAAGACGCTGTTGGGGGATGGGGCAAAAACGTAAATGTGACACACACAGAGTCAAGCCTCCCATTGTGGGCTTTGTGGGAGTTCTGACAAAGCATGTCACCTGGGCTATGAAAAGCCAACAGGACCAGGAGAGCATGTCTGCCCGGGACAGCTCGCCGGCTGAGGAGCGCCTGCCCCCATTCTTACCGTCCTTGTCCACCGTAAACGGCATGTCGGGGGTGACGATTTCGTAGCTGCAAATCTGGCTGAACTGAGGAGAGCAGTCTGCGTCCACGGCCTCCACTCTCAGGATGCTGTCGTCCTGCCTCCCCTCGACCACTGTTGCCTTGTAGGACTTCTCCTTGAACACAGGCGCGTACTCGTTCACATCGTTCACCTGAATGTGGACAGTGGCTCTGGACGGAGGGAGAACAACATTTTGGGGGGTTTTGTTGTGTTTTGTGTTTTTACCCAAAGGATACCGATTCTGCCCTATTTTAACATCTCCTTTTCTGATAACTTGTTTCATGAAACTTGTATGATGAAGTCAAAAATTAAACCATACTGTTCACTGCTTTTAATTCAGCACAGAGACAACAGAAAGTTAAAATAAGGATTCGGGTTGACTTTTCCATAGCCTAAGAATAAGGCAAAAAAGCAGTATGGACAGCACACTCTGAAGGGAGACAAACCACATCAGACATCTGTTTGCTCTCTAATTATAACGTTAAAACATACTTTGTTGCAAAATCCAGAAAAAATAGAGCCAAAGGAAGAAGGGGTAAGAAGCAGAGAAGGAATGAAATGGCAGATTACGAGAGTTAAACAGAATCCTGTCGTGCTTCTAATAAGCAGGATGAAGACCGTCACCAGACACTGATTCAAGGCGTGAGGGCCACCCCTTCCCATTGCCCCAGCTCAGTCATCGAGAAAATGAAGGTGTCATCAGCAGGCTACACATAAAGAAAACTGCAGGTTTCAAGGGCTACCAGTCAGGGCCTGCTTCTGAATCAGACAAGGTCTTTGGTCAAAATATGACCTCTTTCAAGGGGAATAATATCACGCTGTGTAAAAAGATGAGGTGATTCAGGGGCACAAGGTTCCCCAATGTGCGCCACGAGCCTCCTCACCCCAAGGCCATCGGTCTGACCCTCACCATGGTCATGTGACACCATTTCACCCACATGTTCCTTTCCTTAGTAGATGCACTGAGTAGAAAGTGAGACTCAACAAAATTAAATTTGCATAATGCCAAAGGGCTAGGAAGTGGCAGAGAAAAGACTAGGACTCGAAGTTGTCTTGTCCAAACTCCTCTCCATTTTAGCTGCAGTTCTCAATGGGCGGGAAACATAAAAACACCCAGGACTGTGGCCGTGACCCAGCTCACTGCACCAGCGGTGATTAATTTTATGCCCCTAGGATTTACAGTGAAAGAGAAATGCAACAACAAAGCAATCTTCCTAAGGACAAAAATTCCAAGCTTTTTGAATGTTTAACGTAGGGAGAGCCTTAGTTTTGTTAATAGAGTATTTGGTAAGATAAAATTATTCATTCATTCATTTATTCAAATATAACCGCACCAGGCTCTTCCTAGGAGTGGTATACAAAGACAACCAGACCTGATTCCTGCCCTCAGAGGGCTTACAACCTAACTGTAGACACTTGAGCACCTATTTTAAAAACATAGAAAGTCTTGGGGACGGGGCAAGAGTTACTATCATTTTCTTTATACACACACAGAGTTGCCTTCGCCCTCGGTGCAGCCTGCTTACTTATGAGACTTTTTCACGTTGGTGCCATCGGGTCCCTTCCCGCAGTCATAGGCCTGGATGGTAAATGAGTAGTCTTTCTGCAGCTCACAGTCCAGTTTCTCCTTCGAGCGGATAACTCCCTCGCCAGTGGATTTATCCACTACTACTGCATCAAAGGGGACATTCTGCCCGTGAATTTTAAATCCACAAATCTCACCTGGGGAGTCAAAGCAGAACAGGTTAGAACTGCCACACACGCCTCCTGACACGCCCCTCCTCCCCCACCTCTCCACCCCCAAGGAAAATAAATGGCAACAACTTGGCAGCCAGGGGTTTGGAGGGTCTGTGGAAAAGCAGGGGCACTGTGCTTGAACAGGGGACGCTCTGGGGCTTTAGTAAGAAGAAGCAGAGTCTGGCTTTTCCAAGCAACTGGTTTACTTTGCATCCATTCATGCAGGAATACAAAAGAGAGAGAGAAAATATAGACAGGCATTCCACAGGAGCACTTAAGATCGCTCGAGGGTAAAGGAGTCTCATTAGCAGACAGCCAGCCTGAGAACACGCCAGAGCTGCCCCAGGGCCGGCAGCGATCTGGGTTTGGACCAGAGAGGAGCTAAAACGCAGTTAAGTGTTGAGAGAGGAGGAAGCGTGAGGTATAGGATCAGCACCGTAATTACAGAAATTCTGTCAAAAAACATCAAAAGAAACAAGTCTTCCTGTGCAATGAGCCTGGCTAAAATTAGGGAATCAAAACAAACCACTAAATGAGAAAGGTAGAAATACCAACTTTTCAGGCATCCATTTCAACGGCTATCGTCCACGATTAAGACACAGTTATGGGGAGGGATTTGCTAGACTTCCCTTTGTCTCAGACTTTATCCTATCAAACATGAAAAAGACACCAGCCTGGGAAATTAACTACGTCTAATCATGAGCTTAATTAGGAGTTAAAAATCTGTGTTTCCGTTCTTGCCCACGGGAGAGAATAAGTATAAATGTTTATATATATATATATGTATATATATATAAAAATAAAACTTCACAAAATGTATTTCACATAAAAGTAGGACTGAACTCTTCCACAATTCCAACTAATAGAAAATTGTCACAAAGCAAATCTCTGAAGTTCAATTAAAGAAAAATGCACAGTATTATCCATACAGTTCAAATGGATGTCTGATTTCCAGATATTTCTAACCAAGGGTCTGGTTACATACAATCTCCATCAATATATTTAAAAATAGAAACAAAGTAGGAGAATAAATGGGAATAAAAGAACATGACAGTTTCTTCTGTTTAAGGGCTGATTCCCAATTTTATAAACAAAGTTAGTGGGTTAATATTCATAAGAGGGATAGAAAGAACCCTTTATCACCTTCTTTGGTGACTGTCACCTCAAAACTCTCTAAAGGGAGAAAAGATAAACCCATGTCAGTAATACAGGAAAGAACGAATATGGAATAATAAGGAAAAAAGTCAAAGATGCACATATTACATAGAGAAGCTTGACATGTAATTTAACCATAGACTCTAGCCAGTTACAGGGATTATTACAGTGAAGCCGGATCCTCGGTACCTGAATATCGCTTTGAATCCAACTTACCATGAACTACTGAAGAATTTTGAAATTATATTAATTTATGGATGAAATACTGCTAGGAAGTTTTCTAACGCCCTCGGGTGTCATTAGGATTTTTCTTTTAATGAACACTTCAATGGCAACCATTAATAAGTACACCTATTTATTTACTGTTTTCAGATTTTCATTTAAGCAAGCTAAATTCTCTCAGCTAGAGTCTGGCAACACTCGACTCATCATTACATTTAACTAAAGAAAAATCTGGAGCAAAAGGTTTTAGCCTTTTGTTCTTGAACAGAGTAAATAACAATGTTTTTTTATAACCTAAAGCACCCAACCAAGGCAACAAATATAAACCTCTCTGCTAATGGAACATCTGCTTGAGTGTGAATGGAGATCAGATTCAAAACTGACTTGGTGATGCTACAGTGACTACTGTTTTTGTTCCGTGAAAACGCCATCCACCAAGTCAGCAGGCAGCCCACTCACTGACCCTTTGACTACTGGCGAGGGGCAGAAATGGGAATGGGGCAGGAGTCCTGCTGCCCCCAACAAACACAGCAGGCCCCACGATGGCACCTTCCCTCTCCCGAAGGCGACACAGCCTGAATGCCCCTGCTTCTGTAATGGTTTTGCCACACATTACCCTTTAACGGTGCTGTTTCACTTGGATTTTAAGGTTTTAAACAAGTATCACGTGGTACACGCTAGGGTTATTTATCCCACGGTGCATAGTTCTTGTGACTTGCTTTTTCACGCAGCCTTGTGTACCTAAGATTCTTTCATCCTTATTGATGGATGTGGCTGTAGATTATTAATTTTCATTCCTACCTGCCGTGAGAACCCAGTCAGCTACCACATGCAAAGTTAGAATACTGTCTGGCGGAAAGAGCACGCACAAATGTTCGCTGTTCCCATGGGCATTTTCCACTGTGTGACAGGTCGCCATGCCCAGGTGTCACTGTTCCCGACCTATGCCACCACAACGAATTCTACACACTGCTGCTACACCAAGGGCCTCCAGGGCTGTGCTGCCCAGTAGGGAGCCGTGAGCCACCCGGGCTGTTCAAATGTACACTAAAATCCCCACGAAAATCACAGTGTTAAACATCCAGGTCCTCAGTCACGCCGGCCACATTTCGGGTGCTCGGTAGCACACGGGGCTGGTGGCTCCTGCCAGGAGAGTGTGGCCACGGGGTGCACCTGTGGCCACAGCAGGTCCTGCCACACAGCGCCACTCTGGGCTAGGGGTCTGTAAACAATGTGCCCTTGGGCCAAGTCCAACCTGTCCTGTTTATGAACAGTCCATATGCTAAGACCGGTTTTTATCTTTTTCTATAGTATTCGTAACATGAGAAAATTATATGCAATTCAAATATCAGTGTCTATAAATGCTTTATTGGAATGCAACCATCTCATTTGTTTCATATACGCTGCGGCTGCTTCCACACTGCAAGGGTAGAGCTTCCAGCAGTCACGTCACTGCAGGAGAGACCCCATGGGGCACAAAGCCTAAAATATCCACTGTCTGGTCCTTTTCAGAAAGGGTTTGCTGATCTCGTCTCTCTTGACACACCAGGAGTTGAATTGCCCAGCACCAGGCCCGTCCAACCGTTTTCCAGGACATGCTAATTCACTACATGACGATTATATTTTTGCGGTATATATATCTCATAATACATTTTAAAATAATTCAGGCTGCCTGGCTTTAATTCAGAGAAAGCCTCTCCATTTCTACTTGGGGTTTACTGTTCTAAACAGAAGATGGCATGGCAGCTCCCTGCCTTGGGTGACACCCTGACAAAGGCCACCATGTAGGTAAGTGCAGATTTCTTTTTTTTTTTTTTTTTTTTTTTGAGTCAGGGTCTTGTTATGTTGCCCAGGCTGGAGTACAGTGACTATTCACAGGTGCAACCACAGCTCACTGCAACCTTGAACTCCTGGGCTAGTGCTCCTCCCACTTCAGCCTCCTGAGTAGCTGGGACTACAGGTGTGCACCACTATGCCCAGCAATAAGTGCAGATGCAAGATCCCAGGGATGAAGTGTCTGGCCTGGGTGATGCTGCCACTACAGAGCACTGCTACATAAAGGGTTATAGACACTCGGCTTGTGAGCATGTCTAACTGTGAGATTACCAGGAGGAGCGGAACTACCTGCCAGGGATTGTAAACTCTCTACTACTCCCCTTGTGATATCAGACCAGGGTGAGGGAAGGAAGGGATGGAGGGTGGGAGGGCACTGAGGAGTTCCCATTTTAGATTGCAGGTTTCACTAGTAAGATACATTCCCAGTAGAGACCGGCGGAGACGAAGGAAGCAAGAATCACAGACGGAGGAAGCAGAGAGGGCAAAGGCCCTGTGGCAGGAACCAGAGGCCTGGGCTGGCTGAGCAGGGAGAACAGCCAACAGGTCAGCAAAGACCCCAAGGCCACACTGTGGGGGCTGCTGAAGCTACTCAGAGAGCTGCAGCTTTCCTTTCAGGTGAGAAGGAAATGATTAGTGGGTTTGAAGCAGAGAAATAGATAAATGTGTTTCATATTCTGAAAGGATCCACCTGGCTGCTGTGCTGAAAATAAACTCATCAGCAGCAAGGATGATTTCTGAATGACCCTGGCAAGGGACGCTGAAGCCAAAAGCAGGCAGGACAGTCAGGGGGCGACAAGTGGCAGGCTCGGGGTGCTGAGGGCAGGAAATGCTGCTGCTGCTTTCTCAGGGACAAATGTAAGGATGAACTGCTTTGTGCTGAGGTGGGAAGGACCGGAAGGAAGGCCCGGGGAGGAATGGGAATCAGCACATTAGCTTCCAAAATGTGCCTGCATCACAATTCATGGGGGGTGGGGGGAGAACAGGTATTCCAGTGTCTTGGAACATTATTTCAAAGATATGATTACCAAATATAAGAATATAAGGGTTTGTTTTGGTTTGCTTTTTGAGTTGGAGTCTCACTCTGTTGCTCAGGCTGGAGTGCAGGGGCATGATCACAGATCACTACAGCCTTGACCACCTGGGCTCAGGTAAACCTTCCATCTCAGCCTTCTGAGTAGCTGGGATTACAGGTGTGCACCACATACCTGGCTAATTTTTTTATTTTTTGTAGAGACAAGGTTTCACTATATTGCCCAGGCTGGTCTCGAACTCCTGGGCTCAAGTAATTCTCCTGGCCTTAGCCTCCCAAAGTGCTGGGATTACAGGTATGAGCCACTGCACCTGCTCAGAATATGTTATTTCCAGGCTGCTTTCCAAAAGAGATCTGATGCATTAACAAGGAGAAAAACAGAGAGTGTGACTGTATCTTTTCTGCATATTCCCACCTAGTCAGAGTATTAAGTTGGCTACTTTAATAGGTTCCACCAATAGGAGCTGGTGCAGGCTGGGTCCTTTACCTACAGCGACTTAAAAAACCATCATGCCAGGCGGAGGTCGATGCGAGATTCAGGCAGACCTGAATCTTCAGACCAGCTGCGCGACCAAGCAGGTCACTGCTGAGCTCACTGTGCCGTCCACAGAGCCGCCAAGTATGCCCACCCTGTGGGTCCGTGTGGTCATTCAACCTGCAACCTCAATTTTAAGGAGGAAGATGGATCTGACTGGAGCAAGGCCAGGGATGAGTGAACAAGCTGTACATCCTGGAGTGCCTC